CGCGCCGAGCCAGCCAGCCGACCCGAGGAGGCGGGGCTTCCTTCGGCTCAGGCAGGCTGGAGCTGGACCGAGCAGCCGCCGGCACTGACTGGATTTCCCGGTGCTCCCGCCTCGCTCTCTCCGCGCCCTTTTCCTTTTTCCCTCCGTCACGTCGTTTGACTTTGGGGGCCTCCGTCGTGTGCGGCGGCTGCTCGATGGCGGAAGCGGTGGTTCCGTCGCCGGAGCGGCGGCGGGATTCGCGATAGCGGATAATGTTCCGTCGTTATCCTGCGCATGCACGTGGCCGCCTCCGCGTCCGCGTGCATGGCGGTGCCAACCAGGACCGGCTTCTTGCTTGTCTTGTCACTTGTCAGGACAAAGCGTTGCGGCCGGGCTGCGGCGCCTGCGAGAGCGACGCAGCGCGCCGGCGGTCGCTGTCCGCTGAAAAACGCCCGCCAACCGCCGCGGAGCCAGGCCGGCTCGTGGTTCGTACGTGTCGACGCGCCTCTCGCCGCGCGAGATCGGCCCGAGATCGCTCAGGAAAACGTCGGGTGGGGGCATCCATAGACCTGGCAACGTCGACCCAAACAAGACGATTCTCTTCTGAAAAAATATCCCAACAAGAAGCATCCATGTGGAATGTACCGTGGAATCGGATGTACTAGTACACTCGTGTACGGAACAATCTACTTTATTATTATAACAAAAAAGGTTTGGTTCAGCTTTCATGTTTTTCCTTCGCAGTGCATTTCTTCGATGATCCTCAGACCTTGATGTAATTTTATTATTGGGAGTACCTAGAACTCATCTAGATGAGATATAATTTGGTCTCATTCACTTTGAAAATAAGAACAGATACAACCCACGTCAGCACACACGCATCTTATAGCATCGTATCCAACGGTTATAAAAAATGAATGAGACCAAACTATATCTCATCTAGATGAGTTCTAGCAAAATTGTTTATTATTTCTGATATGTTGGTTCTACTGTCATGGTGAATGACGATTAGATCGAAAGTTTTTCGCACCAAAAAAATGCATTTTGATTTTGAAACAATGGCGGAAGTTTTGACATATTTCATTACTTCTGCCACCATTTCACAAAGCTGAAATCGAGTCAACATTCAAGATCATACCCCCTGCGCAATTCTTCTATCATACGAAGTGATTGGTTTTAGTTACTTGGGTGTGGGACTGTCCTACTTATTTAAGTAAGGTAATTCGAAATATAAAGAAAGTTATAGCATGAGCATCTATGCGAAAGAATGTTATCTATCATGTCCACACAAAACCAAAACAAGATCAAGTTACTCTTTCATTAATGCTGTAGCTGCAAGACCGTTCTAGTGTTGCATTGCATCTATTGAACACTTGACTTTGGTAGTTTTTTTTTCTTTGTGAGGGGAACATCATGGACCAAACTGTTTAGTGTGTAGTTTTGGTATTAGGTTGTAGTTTTG